GGAGAGTATCCTGGATTATCCCCGTGGGCCTTAAGTCATAGGTTTCCATATGAGAATGAGGCAGGAGATACTGTTAAGAGGAAAAGGCAATGTGATGGAAATAGAGAAAGAGATTTTAAGATGCCGCACTGCTGGTTTTGATGATGGAGGGAGAGGCCCAAGGAGTGCAAGGAATACAGCTCTAGAAACTGGAAAAGGCAAGGAATGCATTCTCCCCTAGTTCAGGAGGGAGCAGGTCCCTGCTGACACCTTAATTTTAACTCAGTGAAACCCATTTTGGACCTCTGGCTTCCAAAACTGTAAGAGAATAAATGTGTTGTTTTAAGCCCCTACGTTGGTGGTAATTTGTTATAGGACCCATAGGAAACTAATACACAGGATGTAAATCTTAACGATGTTGAATTTTCTAATCTATAAATGTGGTATATCTCTCCGTTTATTGAGATCTTTAATTTTTCTTGGTAGTGTTTGGTAGATTTCAGTGTACAAATCTTGCACATATTTTGTTACATTTACTTATGAGTATTTCATATTTTGATGCTGTTGCGAATAGTAGTTTTTTCATAAACTTAATTTTAAGATAGATTTAGATTTATAGGAAAGTTGTAGTAAATGATAGCTTTAAAAAGTTCAATGTTCAATTTCTCATTGTTAGCATATAAAATACAATAATTTTTTGTACATTTACTTTGTAGCCTGCAACTTTGCTAAATTCAATTATTAGATTTAATAGCTTTTTTAGTAGATGATTTGGGATCTTCTACATAGACAGTCATATGTTGTCTGCAAATATCAGATTTACTCCTTCCTTTCAAGTCTTCATTCCTTTTAGTTCTCCTTCTTATATTTTCACTGTGGCTAGGACCTCCAGTACAATCTGAATAGATCTATTGAAGTGGACACATTTGTTTACAGTCTTGGGAAAGTATTGTCTTTCACCATTAAGCATTTTAACTGTATGTTTTTCATGGATAAGCATACATTCCTAATGTGTTTAGAGCTTTTATTGCGAATAGGTAGTAAATTATGTCAAATGTTTTTTCTGGAACCATTGAGATAATCATATGTTTTTTTCTTTTTCATTCTTTTAATACTGTGAATTTTATTAATGGATTTCAAATGTTAAGCCAAGCTGGCAATCATTGCCAAAACCATACTTAATCATAATGTAATTTCCTTTTTTATATATTGCTGGATTCAATTCTTTACGTTTTAAAGGGTTTTTGCATCTACATTCGTGGAAGATACTCATTTGTAGCTTACTTTCTTGGTCAGGTTTTGGTATCAGGGTAATGCTGACCTCATAAAATAAACTGAGAAATTCCCCCCACCCGCCGTCATCTTTTTCTGCAAGAGTTTGTGAAAAATGGTGCTGTTTCTTCCTTATATGTTTGGCAGGTGTTGTCAAGGCCTGACATTTTCTTTGTGAGAAGGATTTTAACTACAATTTCAGTTTCTTTAATGAATATAGAGATATAAAAGAATTTGTTTCTTCTTGTATGTACTTTGATAATGTCTTTCTTTCAAATAATTTATTTGCATAAAGTTGTTCATAATATCCTCTTCTAATCTCTGTAATGTTTGTAGGATTTGTAGTGATGTCTCTTCTTTCATTCTTGGTATTGGTAATTCGTGTGTACTTTTTCCTGATCACTCTGGCTATAGGTTTACCAATTTTCTTGATCTTTTAAAAGAACCAGCTTTTAGTTGTATTGATTTTTCTCTCATATCTTTTTACTGTATTTTATCGATTTCTGTGCTTTTATTTATCATTTTCTTCCTTCTGTTTATTTTTCAAAAAATTTCCTACTCTTCCTATTTTCTGAAGATATTTTCTAATATAAGCATTTGATGCTATGAATTTCCCTTAAGTACTGTTTTAGCTGCATCTCACAATTTTGATATCTTGTATTTTCACTTTCATTTAGTTCAGAATTTTTCAAATTTTCCTTGTGGATTTTTTCTTTCACCTATGGATTATTAAACGAGTGTTGTTTAATTTACAAGTTTTTTGAGACTTTTCCAGATCTCTTCTTTATCAATTTTCAATTTAATTTCATTGTGTTCAGATACTTTGTATGATTTCTATCCTTTTAAATTTATCGAGGCTTGTCTTATGGCCCAGAATTCAGTCTGTCTTGGTGAATGTTCCATGTGTACTGGAAAGGAATTTGTATTCTGCTGGAATGTTTTATCAATATCGATTAGGTCATATTGGTTGATAATGTTGTTATCATCTTGTATATCTTTAGTAATTTTCTATGTGTTCTACCTTTTACTGAGAGAAGTGTTAATTTCCAATAATAATTGTGGGTTTTTCTATTTCTCCTTAATATTTTAAATATTCATATTTTCTATGTGTATTTTGAAATTTTATTAGGTACATAAATATTTACAGTCTACCTCTTTATCATTATGAACTGCCCTTATCTGTCCCTGGTAATTTTCTTTGTTCGAAAATATACCTTGTCTTACATTGCAGTAGGCAGGATGTCCCCCCAAAGATATCCAGGCCCTAAGCCCTGGAACCTGTGACTGTGTGATGTTACATGGCAAAGGGGACTTAGCAAATGTGTTTAATTTTACAGTATTGGTTTCTATTGCTTTCATAACAAATTACCACAGATTTTGTGACTTAAAACTACACAAACATTTCATAGTTCTGTAGGTCAGAAGTACAGGTACAGCATGGCTTAGGTCTTCTGCTTAGAGTCTCACAAGGCCAAAATCAAAGTTTTGAAAGGGCTGTACAGCAGGTCCTCAAATAATGTCATTTCATGATAACGTTGAAGAGATGCTGTAAGGTAAGAACGTAACTCTTGTTTATATCAGTTAGCCTGTGGTAAAAGTGGTTTTATGTTGTTTTGCTGAAAGCTGCAGAACCTATCAACGATGTTAATTGAGGATTCACTGTATTTCTTTCTGGAGGCTCTGGGGTTTAATTTGCTTCTAATCTCATTCGGGTTGTTGTCAGAATTCAGTTCCTTGTGACTGTAGGACTAAGGACCCCATTTCCTTACTGGCCATCAACCAGGAGTCATTATCAGCTTCTGGAGTCTGCCTGCATTCCTTGTTTGGCTCATGGATCCCTTCCTCTGTCTTAAAAACCACCAAAGGCAGGTCATGTCCTTCTCATGTTTGAAATCTCTCTGACTTTCCCTTCTGTCTCATCTCTCCTCTTCTCTGACTTACTCATATGCCACTTTCTGCTTTTAAGGGCTCATCTAATTACATTGGGCCCACCTGGATAATCTGGAATATTCTCCCTATTTTAAGGTCAGCTGATTAGTAACCATAATTCCATGTGCAGAGTCCCTTCGTGGTAGTACCTAGATTTGTGTTTGATTGAATAACCGCAGAATAGGAATCTTGGGGAACATCTTTAGAATTCTGCCTACCATGGTTATGGACTTTAAGAGGGGAATAGTATCCTGGATTAGCCAGGGGACCCAATCTAATCACATGCACTTTTAAAAGCAGAGAATCTTCTCAGGAAGCAGGAGCAATATGGCAGAAGGAAAAGTCAGAAGAATTCCAAGCATGAGGAAGATTTGCTATGCTGTTGCTGGCTTTGAGATGTAAAGGCCTTTGTGCCTTTATATCTTTGATCAGAGAAAAACCTCTAGGACCTAAGGGCAGCCCACACCTGGCAGCCAGCAAAGAAACTGGGTTTTCAGCCATATGATAAGAAACCAGATTGCCAACAACCTTGAATGAACTTGGAAGCAGATTTCTCCCAGAGTCCCCTGATAAAAGCCAGTTGACACCTTGATTTCAGCCTTATGAAGCTCTGAGCAGAGAAATTAACTAAGTCTGTTGGGGCTTCTGACATACATAACTATGAGATAATAAATTTGTATTTTTTTAAGCTGTTAAGTTTGCAGTAATTTGTTGCAGCAGCAATAGAAGACAAACAGATATTAATATAGACACTCCAAGTTTTCTTTTGGTTAGTGTTTGCTTGGTATAACTTTTTCTTTCTTTTTACTTTTAATCTATCTCTGATTTTATTTATAAAGTGAGTTACATATAGACAGCACATAGTTGTCTTGCTTTTTAAAACCATTCTGACCATCTTTGACCTTTAATTGGTATTTACACCATTTACATTTAATGTAAACTGCCTCCAAGTGGTAAGCTGAGGGAATAATAGAGTTTATTTATTCTGTTTTCTTTCCTTCTGCCATCACAGTCCTTCACTTAATGTTGTCCAGTGTCTGAAAACTTGTTTCATATATTTTGCCCAGTTTCTTATTTAAGGTGGAAAGAAAACCACATTCCTTTTACTACGTAGAAAAATGGAAGTGGAAGTCCTCAGTAATGTAATCTCTAATATTTTAAGAATATTCTCTTCAGGAAATCTCTTTCATGTGAAATGAAAGAGAGAGAAAGATGAATTTATTCAGTCTTAGAAAGTATAATACATGTATTAAAATGTTACTGTATATGAACATGGCAGATGGAAGCCTTTTTAAAAATAGAATTAAATAATTAGTCAGTGACAGAACTTGACCGTATCCTGAACATGTCAGCCTTTTCCAGCCTCCGTGTCTTTGTATGGCTAGTTCCTTCTGCTCAGAATGTTTCCTCACCTCACATTCTTTCCTGCCTGACAGCTTGCCATGTAACCTCTGGAACCAGCTCCAGAGCCACCACCTCTCTGTTTCTCAGGGCCCCCAGACAGAATCCAGATGTTCTCTTGTGGGCTCCCATCGCACCCTGCCCTATAGCACTGTTACGGCACACGCCATGCTGCATTATATGTTTCTGTGTGGAGTCCCTCCTACAGGAAGCCTTTGAAAGCAGGGAACTAATTTTAGTCTTTATGTTTCTCTTATCCCCTAACACAGTATGTCAACTACATAAAACTTTTCTGCAAATGATTCTCGAATTAGTGAGTCTTTTCATGTGCTGAAAAATAACTGCTGTTACTACTCCCTATTTTAATATCACATATTTGTAAATGTGAATCCTCTTTAATCATTTTACTTTTCTCTTAGTAAATTCCTCATCTATGCCTGTCTGCTGCTGTTCTCTGTGCTGCTGGCCCTTCGTCTGGATGGCATCATTCAGTGGAGTTACTGGGCTGTCTTTGCACCAATATGGCTGTGGAAGTTAATGGTCATTGTTGGAGCCTCAGTTGGAACCGGAGTCTGGGCACGAAATCCCCAATATCGGTAATACTGCTTTATAAAACCCATTGGTCTCTATCCTGAAGCATCAGTCTCTTGCTTTTCACTTTAGATAAAGTAAGGACTGTTTTCTTTTCTACCTCTCCAGGGTTTTATAAGAACTATAATATAGGCAAACTGAGTTCTAGACTAAGATTTTTAAAACTTAGGTATTCGATATGCACTTTCTTGCAAAAGCAGTGTTATTTTGGGTGGTTCATTTCCTAGCCAGCCCACAGAAGCCTATGTAATCTAAAATACATGCAAAATATGGAACTGTTCTGCCACTCTAGACTAGGAAATATGAAACCACCATGTTTTTAGGTGCCGTTCTACTGTCCAGACTTTTAGCTCTGGTCATCAGGGTATATCCTTTGCCAGTTCAGTCCTGGAACTGGGGCTCCTGTTGTCTCAATCTTGTAGTGTGTGGGGGAAGTAGCTTGGCCAGGAAACTGCGTCCCTGCGATGGAGAGACATGAGGCCCAGAAGCTGTGCAGGAGAGCAGAGGCCTTTGGGAGCCAGGCAGAGGTGTGACCTGTGACCTTTACCTTCAGCTCCTCAGCACCTTTCTTGGGTGGCTCAAGTGGTCAAAGTGTGGGGAGTTGGCTCACTCCAGCGTGTAGCCTGGAGCTAGCTGCTGGGGCCTGTGAGAGTCTCTCCTCTCTCCCTCACAGATACTAGTATTTCAGAAAGGAAGGAAGGGGGGATTGAGAGGGAGGGCTGTTTTGAACCTTCACCAGGAAGATGGGAAGAAAGAGGGGAGCACGTGCAGCTGCTCATGTGAGAAAAGCGTTTAATTCTTGGTTATTGACATGAAAATAAGATTAAAATTATATAAAATACATTACCACATACATATCTAAGGATGTTAAAATAGCCACACGAAGAGTCTTGGCAGATAGGGGACATTCTTATATAGCTGTTTTAAAGGTATTAGATTTTTTTAAAAGATTACCTGTGTGGCTGCAAATCTTTTTATTTAGACACTATTTGAACTTTTCTCTCTTGGTTTAATTTAAGACTTTTAGAGCAAGGGTAGGAACTACCCTTGTGTGCAGTTGAACGTATTGAGTGTACAGACATAGTCATTCTAGAATGTGTCAGTGATATTCAAGGGAACATTATTGGGTCCTAGAGAAATAACCAATAGCCACATTTTTTCTGTGTCCTAAACTCAGTATCATCATCAAGAGATAACCTAAATGTTCATCCATATTTTGAATAGAACATTAGAGGCCTTCCAGATGCATTACGAAGGATTTTCCTGATTAGCGGCCTTATTATTTTTCTGTTGTTAATCTGTTAAGTTTATGCATGATACTCAGACAGCTAATTAAACCGATTTTGTTTAAAAACAGTTTTAATTCTTTTCCTCTTCTCTCATCTGCAGGTGTTAATTCATCCTCATGGAATAGCAAGGAAAATAAAAGCATTCATGCTTTTTATTTGCATTTTAAAATAGCACCTAACAGTAGTTACTGCATTTTCTTTAAATACAACCCACTCTTTTTCATAGAGCTAGAGTTATTTTTATATCATTGCATGAAATGTGATTTTATATGGTTTTTAATTTGTTAAGAAATGAGGATCATGAAACTTAAGGGATATTTGCCAGTTTTTAGCAATAGAAGCAATCAGCTTGAATAATCTTGGAAATAGTTGAATTTAAAGTTATGAACAAAAGTGTGTACATTGTTAGGGAAATAATAACTGTAGCTATTACTTCTGAGAATATCTTTACACAATTAAAACTTTTAAGTCAAGTTTTGTCATAATGCTCATTTGTCATGTAGTAGTTCTTTGATGTTTGAAAGGTCGGCTATTAAATATTAAGTTAGCCTTCTACCTGATATTTCCTTCATTTGTTGTCAAATTTACAAATATGACTCACAGTATCAACATAAGTTGATATTTGTCCTGGACTATTTGCTCGTTATGGAGATTCTGAACTGAGGGTGTTTTTCTTCTTCTCCTTCTGGCCCTTTTTAGAGCAGAAGGAGAAACGTGTGTGGAGTTTAAAGCCATGCTAATTGCAGTGGGCATCCACTTGCTCCTGTTGATGTTCGAAGTGCTGGTCTGTGACAGGATCGAGCGAGGCAACCATTTCTGGCTCCTGGTCTTCATGCCGCTGTTTTTTGTTTCCCCGGTTTCTGTTGCAGCTTGTGTTTGGGGCTTTCGACATGACAGGTCACTGGAGGTGAGTGTTCATATATTTAAGAATGGTCAGTCATTGTGATGTAGATTCCTTGCCCTTTGTTAGGAAGAGATTGATCTTTAACCCTAGATCATGGTATATAAGGAAACAAAAGACCATGGAAATAACCATGTTTCTATTTTTTGAGTTAAAACACTGATTTTTCACCCAGGCCATATGCTTCATTCCAGCTTCACATCTTTCCCTGCCCACCTGTATCAGTCAGGCTTTTCCTCAGCAACAGAACCAATAGGAGAGATGCAGATGTGAATGTAGACACCAATAGAAGGAGATTCATTTTAAGGAGCTGGGTCATGTGATTGTGAGGGCTGGAGGCTCAAATCCACACGGCAGGCTGGAGACTCCGCAGGAGTTGATGCTGCAGTTTTGAGGCAGAATTTCTGCCTGTCCAGGAAACCTCAGTTTTTGTTCTTAAACCTTTTAACTGATTGGAAGAGGCCCACTGCATTATCGAGAGTCATCTCCTTAAAGTCAGTACCTTCACAGCAATACCTAGATTAGTGTTTGCTTAAATAACTGGGTACTATAGCCCAGCCAAGTTGACATGTAAAACTAACCACCACACTGCCTCAGACCCCACGATCCAACTGTATCTGATCTCTGGCTAGCTTATCCTGATGTGCCGGTATGTTTGTTTATTCATTCAGTAGACATTTGTCAAGTATTTACCAAGCCCTTTTTGCCTAAACCTAGAGGATACACAGATGAACTAAAAAGCAGTAGTAATACTAGTAATAAAAATAATTGCAGATCACATTTATTGAGCGCTTACTATGTGCCAGGCATCGGGCTAGGCCCTTCACATGCAGTAATATGTTATTAAAGACTCACAACAACCCTGTGAAGCCCATGTAGTTGTCATCCCTGTTTACCAGAGAAGGTAAGTGATTTGTTCCCAGTTGCTCATTTGGGCTGGATCCCTTTTCAGTCAGCTAGACTCCAAATCATGAGTACCAGACCACATGGAAGCCATGGGCCTGCAGCCTGGCACAAATGGGTTCAGGGGAGAACTGCACACTGTGGACACTTTGTTTTGAGCTGCGTGGGTAAAAAGTGGAATAAGGACATGGCAGTTGGGCAGGAAAGGAGTGGAGGGTGGCTTAGGGCAGGTTAACCTTGAGAGGAAGGCGCTGTGGAGAGGGAGGGTAATAGAGCCAGGGCCTGTGGGAAGCAGAGGGAACGAGGCCCCAAGCACCAGGAAGGGCTTGGCCTTGACAGGGACAACAGTTCTGGTGCGGGGGAGAGGAGTTGGGTGGACCGGGAGGGAGAGCACCCCTAAGGGCCCGCTTCACCCTCCCTGCACTTCCCCGAGGCCGGACAACCCAGACACTTCTCTGCACTGCCCCCATTGGCTGCTGGCCAGTGGTACTAAAATTTCATGAGGGAGTGTGATTAGGAAAAAAAATGTCTAAAAAGACCCCTGGGAGGACAGTAATGAGAGCAAGGTTGAGAAGCTCTGAGCTGGACCCCCTTTGCCCCTCTGCAACCCGCTCCCCGGCCATCTCTGCGCAGTGCCTCTCCCTGCTACCTGTTCCCCAGGAGTCAGTCCAGACCTTTGCCTGTTCTCTCTCCTCCGCTTGTCCATCCTCCCTCCTGGGGCAGGCCAGTCACGCCCCTGCTTCAGCCCCTCTCTGCTTCTGGTTCCTTTAAGCATTTGCTCCTACACTTACCCATACTCTCTCTAGTAACTTTGGTCTCTCTCATCGGAAAGAGAAAACAGAGTGACAGCAGAAAACCCTCTCAGTCCTCCTGCTGTTGCCCCTTTCCTTCCTGAGACAGTGCTGTTCTGACCTCGCACTCCGTGCTCAGTCCTGCATACCCCAAAACTGGCACTGAGCACCCTCTGGCCAAACATAGCGGGCCGTCTTCAGTCCTCGTTCTGGGCACCGGCCACTCTGTAGCTCCTGGCACTCCTGGTCCTTGGACCAATCTGGCCACTCCTGTCTTCGGCTCTGTTGCTGTTTCTTAGGATTCTAGTCCTAGGCATTTTCAATCCTCACTGTGTGTATTTCCTCCGAATATGTTGTTACACTTTCTGTCTCCACTGCCACTTGTGCACTGTCACCTTCTAAATTCACAGTTCTAAATTCAGATTTCTCCTCTAGCTCCAGACTCCATATCCAGCTTCACCCAAATCTGTATTCCCTGTATTGATTAAAGGCACAGTTTCGACCCAGTCATCCCTACCTTTCTACTTTACGCTTCTCCTGTTTTGCATGTTTTTCTATTACCTGAGTAAATGAAGTACAAACATTTAAAATCATTTCCAAAAGGTTACATTAAACAAAATCACTGAGATTGAACATCAGCGATATCACTTATTTAGTTCAGCATTTCTCAGTGGGGGATGGGGGTATGCAGTTGGCCATCTGGATAGGAAATCTTTTGTTGAACAGGACTGGCCTATATGTTGCAGGACCTCTGCCCACTAAATACTAGTGGAGGTGCCCACCCCCAGTCTTTGTGACCCAGTAGCACCCCTGCACGTGCCCTAAGGGAACAGTGTTGAAAAGCACTGAAAGGGCCTGAGAAAGAAGGTTAAGAAAACTAAAAATGAGTTATTTTGTTTCTTGGAAAGCAAAAGCATATACAAAGGCTAGGACTGTGTTGAGCATGAAACCATAGTTTCCTAATGCAGAGTTATAGAAAGTAAGTTGTTCATACTCTTGGCATTCCTACCCACAAGAAGCAGCACCATGTCTGGAGTTGAGCTCCCCCTTGGTTCTTGTGTTGCAGGAGGAAGAGTACCTGCATTTGCTAGGGGGTGATTGGAGATAGGCTCACACAGAGATATGAAAAGAGTCGGGATTGGCCAGGGTGGCCTGTACAGCTAGGAGAGGACATGGTGTTGTCCAGGCAGAGGGAGTAATAACACATACAGAGGCCAAGACAGGAGAAAATCTATCGTGTTGTGTGAACTATGGTGGCTCAAATATGACTGAAGCACAATTTTACAAGCTGCAGAGAGTTCTGGAGATGGATGGTGGTGATGGCTGCACAACTTAAGTGGTATTAAGTGTCTAATACCACTGAGCTGTACAAGATGGTAAGTTTTATGTTGTGTGCATTTTACCATAATAAAAATATATATATGCCTGGAACATAAAGTGGAAAGAAGGGCATTGTGGCAGTTGGGCGAAAGGGAGGCTGTGTAGACGGATTGGGCTGAGTAGGGGCCAGATTCTCTGTCCTCAAGGAATGTGCCGAGCTGCCTCAGGCACCATGGTGATGTTGGACAGGGGCACCATGACATATTGGATATGTTTGAGGGAAAAGCAGTGATAGCTGACATCTCTGGGAACACTATGTGAACTACTCGCTCCAAGTAGTTTATGGTTTTGTTATGAAGTCACATTACATTCCTTTCGATGATGTCACAGAAGAAGCTGGGTTGTTGGCAGTTGCTGTGATAAGAAGATATTATTGTACAAAAATCCATGCAGAGAACAGGTAATGAGGGCGGAAGTGTCTTGAGTAAAGGTACAGTACCCAACAGGCACATACGTCCCCTTAGGAATTAGTTGTGCTTATTTAAAAATGAAATAAAAATATTTTCTTTCAATTTGTGTGAGGTTTTTTTTTTTTTTTTTAAGATAGCTGCTTAAGACACAAATACTAAGTTTAGATCTAATTACTTAAATCAGTGGAACTGTTACGTACTTCATTTGGCCCAGAGGCTTACGAAAGAACTCCTGAGTCACTAAATGCCCGTGAACTCAGAACTTTGGAGACGCTCTGGGCCAGATCCAGTGGCCTCATGTGATTTTTTCTGTGGGCACTGGTGAGCTGTTGGAGAGCAGCTAGCACTGCGGGCAGAACACAGACAGTCTGGAGGGCATTGGGGAGCTGAGGGCCTGCAGGACTGAAGGCCAAGAAGCTAGTCAGGGGTTATTGGAGTGTTTCGGGGTGGAGGGGTTGGAGATGAGGAGGGCCTGACTAAGCAATAGTAATCGAGGTGGGTGGCAGGCAGGAGATTCAAGAGAAGTCTGGATGGTAGAGGACAGGATGTGGTGACTGAATAGGAGAATGTGGGGAGAGGAGTGCAAGGTGCTTTCTGCCATCACGGTTTGGGAAATTAGGCCACTGTGGTACCTTACAGAGAGATGGGAGACTGTCAAAAGGGGTGGGATAGGGTAACAAAATGGGTAATCGTGCAGGGAATAATGAACTCGGTGTGGGGCTGGCTTCATCTGAGGTGCCTCAAGGAGACCTGGGTCTGGGGACATAGCACAAAGGCTAGGTTAGAGACAGAGATTAGAGAACCAGCCAGTAGGAGGAAATGCAAACCAGGAGTTTGGATGGCATCTCTTCTCCCCCACCCCCAGGGCAGAGTAAGTGAGTGAAAACGTGTGTTCGTGTCTGTGTCTCCCTAGTGGGGAGAGGAGACTGAGTTTAAGGCTCTGGGGAGCATCACTATTTAAGGAGAGGAAAAGGAGGCTGAAAAAGAACTGTCAGAGCACCAGGAGGTGGGCGAGACTATGCACTGGGACCCTAAGAGGAAGGAGTGGTCAACAATATTATGCTGCAGAGATGCCCAGTAGGATGTGAACTGAAGTGGTCTGAGACTGCAGAGGTTATTGGTGACCTTGATGAAAGCAGTTGCTGGGTGGTCATGGGGATGGAGGTCGGATCACAGTGTGTGGAGTTTGAAATGGCAGGAGAGGCCATGGGGCTTAAGTATCCATGATGTCTCACAAAACTTGATATAACAGAAAGAGCTAGAGCAAGAAGGGATACTGGATCAAGGGAAGGGTGGATTCATTTGGCCTTCGGGTTGTTTTGTCTGTAATGGAAATGAGTTAAACTTGTTTGTGTTTCTGGGAAGGATCAGTGGAATAGACAAGGTTAAAGATGCAGTAATGAATCTATAATTGATGTCTTGATGTGACAGGTCCCGGAGGAGCCAGAAAGGAAGGGGTGGAATGCAGGGCTGACTCCTGGGTACAAGAAGAAGGAAGTACAGGGATGGTTAGGAATAGAGATGTTTGTGAATAGGGGCAGGAAGGAAGCTTGGGGAGTCCACTGTGGATCGCCTCTGTACTTGGCAAGCCTAGAAATGAGGTCATTGCCTGAGTGAGTGTAAAGGGCAGGGCAGCCACTGAGCAGAGGGGATGACTCAGGAGGCCAGGGGCAGATTTCTCCTTGGCACAGCACTACTTCACTCCTCTGGTGCTGAAAATCAGGTGGTCTCAGTGTAACAATAAAACATTTACCGTATTATAATTTACATCGCCTTTTAGTGTGTTAGACAAATAATTACAGTATTGAATACAGCTTTTACTTTGTTTAACTGATTCTTCTCTTCATTTTTAGTTAGAAATCCTGTGTTCTGTCAACATTCTCCAGTTCATATTCATTGCCTTAAGGCTGGACAAGATCATCCACTGGCCCTGGCTTGTATGTAACTTTTTAAATTCTTAAACAAACTTCTTTTTTATTCTTATAAAAGTAATTCATGTTCATTGTAGAAAACTTGGAAAAGACAGATAAGCATAGGTAACAGAATAATAATCACCCATAATCCACTGGGATATAAGATGGTTAATGTTTTCTGTTTCCCTGCTTTGGGGTTTATTGTTTCATAAAGGTAGTTGAGATCATGCCACATACATAATTTTGTATCATGCATTTTTATTCTAACATTGCATCATAAACATTTTCCCATGTCAATAAAAGTTCTTTAAAAGCATAACTGTTAAAGTTTAATTGATGGAAAATATTCTTCAAATGCATTTACTAAATCATCCCCTTATTTCTGAATATTGAGGTTGTTTACTAGTATTTTACAATTATAAATCATGCTGCAGCATATATTTTTGTGTGTAAAAGTCTTTGCCTGATTTTTTTCATTGTTTTCTTAGGAAAGACTCCAGAAATTTATTACTGGGCCACAGGGTGGGAACTTTTTGAGATTTTGAAATACAAACTGTGCTGCCAATTTGCTTTTCAAAAAAGCTGTGTCGGTTTTTACTCCTGCCAGGAGTGAGGTATAAGTCATGCTTGTAACTTATGGCTTCAGTTAATGAGTGTTTGGTTAACATTGACTGTGCATATATGTGGATAGATGAATGGATGGATGGATGGATAGATACATACATATTTTACATAGCAAGCTACAACTTAGAGACTGCACTATGATTTCAACTATTAATGCATAGAGAGAAGATGAGAATAAAGGTAAAAAGTTACATTGCTTTGGGAGATGAGGTCATGCCTGTATTTTTCCCCCTGATGCTTGATGTGTACTTTTGCACACAAGACATTTTCTGTAATGCACATGATTTACATTTAAAAAAATGAAAGTAAAGAATATAGTAAAAACAAAACATTCATTTGACAACAGGGAAGAAAATAAAGGAGCATATGTTGCCTCTACAATGAATAAGGACAAGACTCATCACTTCTGCCCCAAAATTTTTGATAAAATATTCTGAATAAAAAATATTGTCAAGCACCTTCCCTGTATCTTCAGGGTGCTATATCTGGAGAATGGTAATTGAGTTAGAATTTTCTCTTGTGACATGGAGGAAACAAATCTTGGTAACACCAAAATTTTAGTGTAAGTTACAATAAAAAAATAGGAATTGTTAATGTTTTCTGTAGGCGAATAGGCTTTTTAAAGGCCCAATCCTGTGCAGGTCCCAGCAGGTGAAGCAGTCTGATTGCACGTTTCCCCCAATGATCAAGAGAGAGCAAGTGAGGCTGTTACAACTACTAACATCTCACAAGGGGCAAGCCGCTAAATGAGAATCTGATCACAGAGAAGAGGTTGTGCATAGACTCTACAGCAAATCCTATGATCAGGAACTCCAAGCTACTCAGGAGGACTAAAAATCATACACTAACTCAAGTAATTGGTCTAAACAATAAAACATAAAACCAAAGAACTTAGAAGAAAATGTAGGAGAAAAGTTTTGCAACTTACAGTTAGGTGAAGAGTTTCTGGAAATGACACCAACAGCATGATCTGTAAAAGAAGCTCAAAAGCGAAATGAAATTAATGAAAAGACAGGCCACAGACTATGAGACGATATTTGCAAAGCACATGTCTGACCAAGAACTTGTATCAAAAACATCTAAAGAACTCTCAAAACTTAAAAATAAAAACCAAACCTAATTTAAAAATTGACAAAAGACCTGAACAGACCATTCACAGAGAGGACATACATAGGGCGAATGAACACCTGGAAAGGACACTGTTACCCATAAGGGAAAGGCAAGTGAAAACCAGGATTGAGGTACCACAATACAGTGTGCTGGGGAGGGTGCAGGGGGATGGGGACACTCACACATACGGGGGGTGGGATGCCAAATTGGATAGGCACTCTGGAAAATGGTTTGGCAATTAAAAAGTTAAACATGATGTTACCATATGACACAGCAGTGCCAATCCTGGGTATTTCCCCTAGAGAGATGAAAACGTACAGCCACACAAAAACCTGTGCACAAATGTTTACAGCACCTTTATTTCGGATAGCCAAAAGTGAGAAAGCACCCAAATCTCTTTCCACTGGTGACTGGATGAACAGTCTGTGGGACATCCATCCAGTGGAAGGAACAACCTGTCGATGCAAACAGGTTGGGTGAATCTCAAAGGCATCCGCCGATTGAGAGAAGGGATTCTCAAATGTGATATGCTATATGATTCCATCTGCAGCGCATTCTTGAAAAGACAAAAATGTACTGATAGAGAACAGATGAGTGATTGGCAGGGGTTATGGATGTGACACAGTGAAGGGACAGCATGAGGGAGACTTGTGGAGTCAAGGAGCTATCCTGCCTGGGGCTACGCAGAATTATATGTACGTGAAAATTCAGAACTGTACGCCAAAAGAAAACAGTCATTTTTATTGTTTGATAAGACAGGTATTCAAGGGGACAGTGCAAGGGGAGGAGAGATTATGAGACCCCCCCAAGACTTAGCCTGCAGCTTGTGGAAGCATTAAAAGAGGTCTTTCTGGTATTACAGCAACAGACACAGAACCTGCCTGAGAGAGGTGGTAGGAACCCAGTGTGCTAGTTGGCAGAGGGTCTGTGCTCCCTGGGCAGCGGAAGCTTCCGGGGAGCATGTTCCCCAGTCTTTGGCCAGCATACCATCAGCAGGATGGGGATATGGCGTGTGAAGAGGGCACGTTATGGGGAAATGGGGTGAGTGTGCATGGGTGGCAGCTCTGGCCTGTTTCCCTGGAGGGGTAGGGGCACGGGGGTAGTGCTGGCAGAGCCGGTGCCAGCTGAGTGAGAGCATACCCCAGGAATAGCAGTTGCAAGACTCTTCAGCCCAAGAGTGATCAATGGGGGAGCAGTGTCTTCATGGCAGAGAGCCGACTCTGCCCGCCTTAGATGTCGGGGTGCAAACTAGACTACCAGAAAGACATCTCTTCTCTCCTTCCCTCAGGTCGTGTGTGTCCCCCTGTGGATTCTCATGTCCTTTCTGTGCCTGGTGGTCCTCTATTACATTGTGTGGTCTGTCCTGTTCCTGCGCTCCATGGATGTGATTGCAGAACAGCGAAGGACACACATAACAATGGCACTGAGCTGGATGACCATTGTTGTGCCTCTACTTACTTTTGAGGTAAGCTTTCGACAGCAGAACTTCCGAGGCCCTGTAGGCCACCCTTCCCTATGACAGTACCCTGTGTACCTGAGGGCAGCTCGCTCTCCCTGGAAATCACAAGCCAACTCCAGGCCAAGAGAGAAAGACAATAAAATTAGTATATCATTTCTTTTGGAGGGAGGAGGCTGGCCATGAGAAATGTGCCGTTCTAGCTATCATGTATCTGTATGTATCAATTTGTCTTCTAGAAAGAGAAGGTTAGATGTTGTATTTTCATATCTAAGTTCTTGACCTCTCAGAACCAACACCAGGAGGAGTTTTCCATAACAGTCCCGGCATTGGAAACTTTCCAGGTGGATGGATTTTGTGTCCCCCGGAGTAGAGAGTTTCTGTGGTCTCCTGTGGAGCTGACTTTCTGCCTTATGAAACCTGATAAGGGAGGGGTGCTCTGGCTTCACATATCGTCCATTTTCAGATGCCACATCAAAGAACCTCAACTGTTTCTCTTTCCTTAGATCCTGCTGGTTCACAAACTGGATGGCCACAATGCATTCTCCTGTATCCCAATATTTGTCCCCCTTTGGCTTTCCTTGGTCACTCTGATGGCAACCACATTTGGACAAAAGGGAGGAAATCACTGTATGTACCAGCATTTCAGAAACCTTGACCTATATGTGTGTCTGTGTGTGTGTGGCCTTGCTCTATGAGAAGATGAGCCTGAGGGCCCCAATTAAGGAGTTTGCATGAGAAAGCTAGCTAGCACTGACGAAAGTCTGGAATCTTCCAAGTGAAAGGTGTGCTGTTAACCTTGCTTTCCCCGCCCTGCATCACAGCCTCCCTAGCAGTACACTCTGTGATCTGAGATAGGACTGAGCATGGCAGGTAGCCTCTCTGAGCCCCATCCCGTCTACTGCCACATGAGGATCAAGATACGTCCTTCTCAGGGGCTCCTGAGCATTAAGTAAAAATCCACATTGCTCAGTGAACCCTAGGTGTCCTCCTAGGTTCTGTTTCCTTCTCGCTTTCCCCAGTGTCATTTCTGACGTCACCAGGCCTTGTCAGTGGTGCCTGCTTGCTCTCTCCTCCTCTTCACCTGCACATGCTGATACCGAGGTTTGAAGTATCTTTGAGGAGGGTCTCTTCCTCACTAGGCTAAGCTCCTTTGCATGTAGCTCCTGAGCATAACCTTCTGGAAGCCAGTGAGATGTTGTTGTGCCCCCAGGAGAGCCAGCACTGAGCTGACGGTCCCGTGGTACACAGACAGGAAGAGCAGGCCTCAAGAGAAGTAGCTCTGAGGTGGCCCCATGAGCTCTGGCCACCTCCTGAGCTGGACCAACACATGCCCACCATCCTCCCGGATTCCAGAGGATGACGGAAGTGCTTTCTTTGGGTGACATTCTTTGTCATACATGAGTTCATCCCAGGTGGGAAAGGTTAGAGGATGTTGACAGAGTCTAGATGCCACAGGTATTTGAGACCCACTAGAGCGGTCCTCAGACTGGAGCACCTGTCAGAATCCCTGGGAGGGCCTGTGCAAGCAGACTATGTATCCCACCTACCAGTTCTGATTCAGGAGGTCTGGGCTGGGCCAAGATCACACCCCTACCAAGGCCCCAGGAACACTATCCTGGCTGCTCTGGGAATGCTACTTGGAGAACCATGGAGCTCAGATCTGACTTATTGTCCTCAGTGGGTACTTAGAGTGGGTACTCTAAGGCATCAGGATAAAACTTCCCATTCAGGAAGGAAAAGTAACATGAAATGCAGTGGAGGCTAGTGTTTGAAAAAGTACATTCTTCTTTTTCAGGGTGGTTTGGTATTCGCAAGGATTTCTGTCAGTTTCTGCTTGAACTCTTCCCATTTTTGAGAGAATATGGAAACATTTCCTATGACCTCCATCATGAAGACAACGAAGAAACCGAAGAAACCCCTGTCCCAGAACCTCCTAAAATTGCTCCTCTGTTTCGAAAGAAGACCAGGGTAGTTATCACCCAAAGCCCTGGGAAGTATGTCCTCCCACCTCCCAAATTAAACATCGAAATGCCAGATTAGACAGCACTTCCTGGGGCAGAACGCAAGTGCACTGGGACGCACGTGCTGCCGTACCTTCCTCTGCCTCTTTGTTCACTCCCCCAGAACTGGAACTGGAGCTGGGTCTCCGGGTACTTCCATCTCATGCCTTGTTTGCACTCAATGCCTACCAGTGACTCACTACAACAGGACACACAGGTGGCAGGTGACAGGAACACATGGTGTGGTGTAGAGTGTGTCAGCGGATGTGGATGCAATGGAGGGAGCGTGTGGTATGTAAAGAGGGGGAAAAGAAGCGAGCAGGCTCAGACCCATCAGGGATGGCTGATTAGTTCAGAGGAGAAATGTCTACAGAGCTGGTTTTCAAAGTGCTAAAATTCCTATCAAAAGTGTTACCTGAAAATGTAATTTTAAATTGGGCCAGCCTCATCGCATAGCTCAGATTCTCCTGTTGTGGCGTGCTCGGTAGGGACTGTGACTACGCCTCTCGCAGCACGTGGATATCCACTCCGTTATCACAGTTCATGTTCCTGCTGTGGAAGTACTTCCTCTTTGGGCATGCTGACAGCAGTTTTTAATTGCCTCATTGGGGAGCTCTTTCTAATGGAGTAACTCCGTGCCTGTATAGTATTTATACAAATATTTTAGCATTGTAATATACCGTGTTAAATCCTAGTTCTGTACAGTATATTCTGTTAAAGTATTTTTTTACAAGCTTGTACTGGAGACATATGTGTTCTGTTGCAGAAGTAGAACTCGGTGGCATACCTGTCCTGCCCATTGCAGTGCCACCCCTTAATGGGACATTGCTATTTCCCCATGAATTTCTCCACATCCATAGTAGCTGCTACTGCCAGAACAGCCACAATAAGCAAGAAATGGTCTGTGTTTTTCTAACATTCTGGGACTATTGACATGCCAGAAAACTATAAAGCATGACCTGAAACTGGAACAATGGAGGAAGTTGCTGAGACTAGAAACAGCCAATGGAATTATGTATATGTGAAGATCTGAGGGTTTTTGTCTGCTCCCAACAAGCATGTTCTGGCTGGGCCCATGTTTTTACCTAGGAATGCAGTTGCTCCAAGAGCTGCTGGTGTAACCATAAGTCAAAGGGAAAGAAAGCAGATCCAACAAGATAACAGCCTTCTACGTGGAAACAAGTAGGCCATTTGTAAAAAGGTGGGGGGGAAGGAGTGCTGACATTCTTACCAGGAAGAGTGGAGGGTTTTAAGGCAGGCAATTGCTAACTTGTCTGAACCAGACTCCGCTGACGTCCAACACGTACATGACAGCAGCCTGGCCCTGGCCCCCAGCAAGCCTGTTCTGTCTGGGAGAAGGGAGACATTTGGAATGCTGTAGGCTTTCCTGCCTGTTGTGTAACAAATGTAGCTCAATCCACAGTTTTTGCTCCCTTTAGTTGTTCAATAAACTGGCTCCTCATTTTCCATGTGTACTGTGTGGGTCTTGCTTTAGATATGGTCTAATACACTGCAGTTCTCAGCCCTAGGAAAGGAAACCACTAGCTGCCATAGGTGCCCAAGGCATGTGGGGTGAACATTCCTAATGAGTCTTCAGGCACAGCCTGAATGAGCAGTATGCAGAGAGAAAGAGGGGTGTCATGGAGATTCTACCATTGGTTGGGGAACATAGTGCTATAGTTGTCACAGCTTACGGGCCTTACAAGAGTGTTCTCGGGTTCCAAGATGGTCTCAAGCCAAAATCGGCTTTTCAGTAGTCCCGAGGCATTACCTGGTCACAGCAGAGGCTAAAAATTGCTTATGATGAAATGAAATATTCTGTCCAGCTCACCCTAGGTGCCCGTACAGTCTAATGGGCACTTAACTCAGATGGTGTTTCAGCCCATTCTTTGCAGCAATGACGAGGAAGCCCACAACATGCTGGTGATGGATGATTTCCTGCAGGAGCCAAAGGCCACAGATGGATCATGTCTGACGCTCACTGCATTTCACACTTGCTGTTGGACAAAACACACTTTTTGGTTACCATAGTAGCTATGACTCCAGTTTCAGGGCCCATGTTACCTGCTGTACCTCCCATTGTAACCTCAGGACCCCACGAAGCTACTAATATTATTCCCATGAGGATATGGAGCCTCAGAGAAGTGTAGACGTCCAGAGTCACGCAACTAGGAAATGACAGAGCTGAGATGCCAGTGTCAGTGGTCTGCGTGTAGGGCCCTGCGTCTATGCACTGGACCAGAGTGCCTGGGTACTGGGCAGATAACCACTCAAGTGTAGGGGTATTTCTGCTTCATGGAAATCTCTGGGAAATCATTGAGCTTTGTGCTTGGATTGATGGGGGCTTTGGGGGAGGTGGCCCTGCATGTGAGGAGAATGTACTCTAGAGGCTGCTCTGCTCAGCCACCTCTTACTAATCTCCAACCTCACACCTCAAAGAAAGATTGCCCAGCTCAAGCCCTGGACACACAGCAGGATAGAGGGCCCTGTTGACATCACCTAAGGGAAGAAAACCATGTGTGAAGGCCAATGGCTAATGCCCTCTCATGTCTTGCCCAGGAAGACATAGGATGTATAACTGCTGGGGTGGGGTGAGACACGTGCAGGCTAAGCTGTGGCAGAAAGGAAGACACCTTCTCCCCTTTATCAGTCTGTGATGCAGCTGTGGGACACTTAGTTAACTCATTGGCCTAAGCGGCAATGTCACTCACCTTCTGGTGACCCAGGGCATGGGCACATTAGGAGAATCTCTGTGTAGGACCTGGCTGCCATGGCTATCACAATGGTAGGTCAGTGTGGCTGTGCCCATGGCCATGCACACCCGTCTTGGACTTTGCTCAATGCTTAAAAGCATCAATATGGCTCAGGTCCCTCAAGCCCAATGGCCCCAGAGAATGGGCTCTGACCTTGTCAATTCACACATCAGTGTGGGTCTTCTGGCTCCAGGAGCTCGAGACCAAGGAGTCAGTTAACGGTTTGCACCACCTGTTGGGCTGTTACTTTAAACCCACATACTGGTGTCTTCTTTCCCAGTGAAATATCTGTGTGTGGTCCAGAATGCTGACAAGCAGATGGGTTATGTGTGTGGCTTGGTCCTTTATAAGGTCACTTGCTAGCTGTCTTATGATGTTACCCACAGCAACCTGCGCCCCTTTGTAATGTCCCGAGCTGCACTATTGTCATGAGTTCTGCTGGCCACACCACTCTCTCATGTTTACATGAGGGATGGACACGCCAGCATTTAGTATGTCTGCAAATGAGAAAAGTCATCAGACAGGCCAGGGGCCTAGATTCGGGATGGTGCCTTTTCCTCCAGAAACATGGGTTCTCAAGATTGGCTCAGAAAGCTATGCTCTTCCAGTGGCCCCGTCACTCCCCCTGGCCCAGTCAGTGTCAGCTGGGTGCCCTGAACTTCAGGCTGCTTCCTAAAGAAACTGCTTTCCAAGTGGTGATCGAAGAGCGTTTGTCCAAAAGGCCACGTGCAGTCCGTGACACCCTGTGAGTGGGAGAAAGCGACCACCTCTCTCTCCCCTTCCTGAAGAAGCTGTAGAAAATCATCAACAGCAATCAGTTTGCATCAATTTGGTGGGAAGCTGGTGGGCCTTGCATAGGTATCAATGAGACTGTTTCAAAAGATTTGGAGAAGGATGGCCCAAAAAAAGTGTTTGAAACATACCACATGAAGAGTTTCATCCGGCAGCTTTACCTCTATGAATTCTGCAAAGTGTACCAGGACTTTCAGCCATCCATTTCCATTATCACCTTTTTCACTGAAGACAGACCCATCTGAGTCCTAAGCAAGGTAACAGGACAAATCTCTTCAAGGACTGAGTTGCTGGACTCTGGTGTGGGTATCAGGTCTAGAGGAATCCCCAGGACATCCTATTGGGAATTGGGTGCCTGTTATCCCCTTTGTGCTGGTGGTGGTGATAGTGACTAAGCGTGGAGACGGGCAACATTCCCAGAACTGTGCTAACTGTATTGGGAGAGATTTATTAGAAATGACAATGACCAAATGATGACTAGCATTAACATATCTGTATGGTATATTTGAAAGTTGTTTACTGAGTAGATCCTAAGAGTTCTAATATCAAGAAATGTTTTTCTTGTTTTTTTTTTTGTATCTATGAGATGATGGAGGTTCACAAAACATACTGTGCTAATCATTTCACAATACTTGAAAGTCAAGTCATTATGCTGTATACCTTAAACATACACAGTGTGTATGTCAATACAACTGAGGGTGGGAGTGAAAAGATGATGTTATTGAAACACTGTACCACAAATGTCAGGAAGGGGGGTATTTGCATACCCATGAGTCCATTACTCTGAACGGTATCTTAGGTGTGCGCTTGGCATTTCATGTGAAAGAGCAATGTCCCCTGGCTTGTTCTGGAGAAGCTAGCCCCAAAGCACTTTGCAAAGCCTGTGGAAGTTTGAAGAAATGGGCTGGAGGGCTGGCAGGCTTCCCAAGATTAGTGAGTCTCTGGAGGCCAACAGCCAGTGACTCCTAGCTGACACTTCCTTATAAAGCCTTGTACTCTCCTTCTCCCCACATCTGCAAACCCCGTGTCCCCTATTATTGGACCTGTGCATTTCCTAACTGGCCATTTTTCCTCATTTTCCAAGGGTGAAATGTGAGTCATGTTAGGGAGTCTTGAGAATATAAAAGTTCAGTGTGCCGCTTCCCACTAGACCCTGACTGTCTTCCTCCAGGGAGGTGTCCAGGACTTCTGGATTGGATCTCACAGGGACCTGGGGGCTGTCGATACTCATGATCAACAGGCCGTGACCTGACTTCATTTCTCTTTATATTTTGAACCTCAGTGAAGTTCCACTGCAGTCACTTGTTTGAGAGACTGTCCTCATCTTGTGAGGATGAAGAGGGGAGTGAGCATTAAACTTGCATTCAGGCAAATGGAGAACAAAATAAAAGCCCTGAGAAATCACCCAGTACCTACAGCTGCCACCAAGTAACAGGATTACTTTCTAGGCTCTGATGAGGACAACCAGGAGGCACAGAATGACCGAGAACTTGAAAACTACCTCCCTGGTCAGGGGTGACTGTACCTCCAGCCATCCCTGGGATGGCAGCTCAGCCACCATCCCGACAGATGCTGATGCTCCAGTATATGAGACAGCCAAGGTCCATGCTGACGGCCCCCAGCCTCCAGACACGGGGTGGCTGTCATCATGCCTGGGGAGTCCCCCTTGTTCGTATTACATCGCCTCCAGGTCAGATAAATTGTTTCTGGCCTGTGGTGGGCATTGTTGCCATCCTTCCAAGATGCCTCGGTGTGCCAAACACAGCTTCCTGTGTGATATAAAACACCCTCTATAACACATTCGCAGCAGGAAAGATAAACCACAGCAGTCAGCGTACACCGGGATCGGAATGCGTACACTGCTTCAGCATCTTCACCCTCTGGGGAAGGTACGTCTCAGACACGCAGCGGCACTGGCCATGCTGTCTCAGCACTCAATTTGGGCATACATTTAGCACACAGGTCACGTCCCGTATACACTCACCACCTCTCCGAACTTGAACTATTACTGTGCCCGTGTTGCAGGTTAAGCAATCGAGGCGTGGAGAGTTCACGTGATTTGCTCGGCTTTGGAGCAGCGGAACTCTCCGCCAAACGGAGCTGCATGTGGTCAGCGCCCTGGCCCTGCACCGGTCTGGGCGTCTCCCCCACAATCAAGGGGGTTCCGGCTGTCTTCCGTGGTGACCTAATGCCTGACGCCTCAGGCCCCATGATTCACAGACCGCAGGAAGCCACGCGGCAAGGTGACACTCGACCCGAGCCTACCACGTGGCCTCTGAAAGTGCCGTCAGGTCCCCTTCTGTCCTGAGCTGAAGACCATGTCCCTGGAGAAGAAGACGTGTTTCGACAGGACTGTGTGAGGGTAGAGAGGTTTCCACGAAGATGTGGATGATGGAGGTGTGGATCTCAGAAGCCTGCTCTAGTTTCTGGCATGGGCCTAATGTTCCCACTTACCTCTCCAGTCTGGTCCCTTCCCCCCACCCCCAACTGGTTGGATGGCCCGACGTTGTCCTGTGGCTCAAGCTGCTAGGCAGGCAGAACGTCAGGCACAGGCCCGCCAGCAGTTCACAGCACAGTGCCTCGGGGCCGGTGACTCTCATGCGTCCACACTGGGCGAGGGTCTGTGGGGCACTTTTGGACAGAACGTCTGTCTCGGTGCAGGGCAAACATGGCTTTGCCTCTGATTCTGCCTTGTGGATATTCCTTGGCATCACGCCCTACATACTGCCACCAGCCCAGCCCGATTCCTGTGCCCACTCACAGCTTGGGGACCAAGGATGGGGGAGATCTGGAACCAATTACTTGCTCCCAGTGCTCCCAGGACAGCTGCCAGGGGTATTTCCCACATAGGAGGGCAAGTGAGAATCAGGCAGAAGGTCAGCTCCTTGCCAAGGAGGCTGGAGCTTAGGGCAAGCTCTTAACCCCGCCGTGCAATGGGGCCTATTCTCGGGACTATGGCCATGCCTGAGTCTCAAAGCACCAGCCACCCAGGGACTCATGCCCTCAAGGACAGGGACCCTGATTTCTCAGGAAATCCGTGCAGACGATGGGGATGAAACACCTTGTTCTCGGTGTTCAAACGTGCTGGGAGGAAACTGCAGGATGCTAGCTCCCTGGTACAGGTGGACATTTCTCCATGATCCAAAGGCACTTCTCCGAACGATTCCATTTCAGACACTCCTCTCAAACCCAAGACACACCATCTGTCTAGACTGGCAGATGCCACCTACCAGTTTCCCTATAAACAGCCCCCATGACAA